AAAAAAGAACAGAAACGCCAGGTAAAATCATTACATGGGAGAGGTTTGTTGTGCCAGAGGTCCCTGCGGAGATACCACTTGCTGCGGCTGTGCCGCTTGCTGCTGTTGCTGTTGCTGCTGCTGCTGCTGCTGCTGCTGCTGAGCCGTCTGCTGGTTTTGTTGTTGCTGTTGGCTCTGTGTCGCAACCGCCGCAGCAGTGCGTGCCGCCAACTGTTGCCGTTGGGCTTCTTGTCGCATCTGGTTTTCCTTCAAAACAGCCTCGCGCCTTTGTCGTTCGGCTTCGGCTTGTTGGCGCTGAGCCTGTACCAACTGCTCCTGTCTCTGAAGCTGTAGACGTCGATCACTCTCTTGTTGTTTGATCTTCTCCTGCTCCTTCTTCTCAGCATGATCTCTCTTAATGTCCTCGATAACTTTGAACCTCTCGAATCTCGGCTCAAACGCCGCTGCATTTGTCTGGGCTTCACCATCAGTGGCGCTGGAGCCTTGAGCTCCAGAGGAATTCCCAGACAGCCTATCATCCAGTACAAGCATGTATCGTTCCTGATCGGCAGCGGCAGCCTCGTCGGCAGCCATTTCCGCAACAGTCCTCTTTCGAGTCTTTGGTTGAGGTGGAGGCTCAGAGTGCTTGGGATGCGCCATTGCCTCCAATAAAAGAATGGTCTCTTCCGCGTTCCGTGTTGGCTCTAGTATCAAGGGCGCAGTTGTTGCCAAGAGGATCTGTCCTTCGGCCGCATATATCGTGCTGCTGTCCAATTCCGTCTTCTCCTTCTTTTGGCGCTTATTTGCGGGAGGTGGCATGCTACTTGCAGTCGGTGTTGGTGGAACGAGGGATAATGGGGTCGATGGCGGTGCAAGCGATGGAGTGTCATTAAGACCCCTGCCGTCGCCTTTTGGGGTAGTGGCCTTGATCTTGAGATCCGCTTGCAGAGACTCTGGAGTCGGATGCAAGACGGCGGTGAAAATCTTGGGCTTCGCCGCTTCCTTTGTTGTCGTGGACTCCGATGGTTGTGTCGGAGCAGTCACGCTCTCCTTGTCCTTTTCTTCTTGAGGTGACTGCTTTGAGCTGTCGATATCCTTGCTAGCAATCCCATTTTCTGTAACCTGTTCTTCCTTCGGGAACGGTACGTAGGGCGAAGGCGTCAGACATTGGTTATAATTGTGAATTGACGAGGGCAAGACGGCGTTGGACGTCCGTGAAGCCTTGGTGACGGCCTTTGTTGTTTGGGCCACAGATTTGTGATCGTGGATTTGAACGATGAGACATCCATCGTAGAACGGTACCTTGGCTTCGATCAGATATTCTAAAATATCGTGCGGGAGTGTGCGCGCTCTAAGATGCTCTATGAATTTTCCCATTGGCGATTTGTAGGGAAACATTCCATCTTGCCCATCAAACCGGAAGTGGGTAGCGTGTAGGTGGACGACCAAGGAGGGGGGTTTGCCTGCGTGCTTGTTCAAGATATATTGGGAGGTAACAACTAATGATGAGACGCTCTGTTAGTCGACAACGTCACGTCGCAGTCAGATGTTGCAGACAAGGGGGTTTCCGTACCATATGGGAGAGGTCCGTCATCCTTGGCACCAGCATCTATAGAAAACGAGCCAGTACGCATTCCCGCACTGTTTCTCGAATTCCTACCGGCTGCCTGGGATGAGTTTTCGCGGCGCGCCCGATTGACCGGGCGAACAGTGGAGGCGGTTATGGAGCGATCGCTGGCCGAGCTCGGAGCCTGTTTCGCGCTCGTCGGCGGTTTCTTTGCCGACATGGAAGGTGAGGGGGATGAATTCGACGACGCGATACCGTTGGTTTGAATGCCGGGCGGAACTGGTCGTTTTATCTTGGCCGCGCCATTCTGTTGAACGACGGGGCTGGTAGGTACCATGGTGGCTCGCGAATGCCGTCCACGGCTGATATCAGCCGACGCGCGCACAACAACTCTGCCGGCTGAGGTCGAATCGTAATTCGGAAGCCCAATGTGCGGTCATCGACGCACCCAGGGCGGGTTAGGTTGGGTGTCTTTCGACTCGAATGCGTTGCGACTCGGAGGTGGAAGGAAATATGGCAAGGCGATGTCTGATGTCGAGAGTCGAGAGTCGTACTGCGCTAGTGAACTGCGGAGACTTCGATATTTGCGGGCAAAGAGAGATAGAGTGAGTTTGGCCGTGCAGCGCGGCAGAAAAACTCAAGAAAGGGCCCAAAAATGATCCATGAGATATGATCACATAGGATCAACTATTCTGCAGATACCAGGTTATAAGTGAATGACGCTGGCGCAGCGCTTCGCACCCTGTTGATGCCAAACGAATGATCATTGATGTTGCGTTTGAATGCCCATGCCGGTCGTCTCACGCGCAGATGAACGTCACGTGATCCGCCTTGTCCGAAGCACAGTGCTGGCCTCTCCCCGGCCCTTCTTTGAACGCTTTGAATTACCTAGCTGCCCTGGGACTTGGAGCCTCATGTCGAGATTGATTGATAAACAAAGAAATGGCCCATTGCGAAGAATCAAAGTGCTTCGAACACTACCTGAACAGGGGACAAAATCAGTCCGTGCATCGACCATTGAACAAGGTATGAACGTGAGCTGTGCTTTAAAGCTCACTTTTATCCGGGCTATATTCAATGTTCATTCTGCACGGAGTCTTTAATCACACTAGTGGTGCAATGCTACATACATTGTCAATTTGTCATAAAATAAGTAAAAGTAAGAAATAGACCATACATATACGTAAACTACAGATCTTATTCACCCTTCATGAAATGATTGCCCAACCACCATGTATACCACCGACCCGTCATTCCCTACCCTGGACTCGTCGAGCCCAATCATCATGTACCCGCATGCCATCGACCACCACGACTCCACGCCCGCGTCCGACTCGTTCAGGTCTTTGCCACCATTTCTCTACTTGCTTCCCTGTTTTCTCGGCCTCCGATTCACTATCTGCCAGCCCTCCAGAACCACTCTCAGCGCCAACGACCAGAATAATGTCGTGCCGCAGCCAAGTTTGGAGAGTAGTGATGATGCTGCCATTGTCTCCACTCAGAGACTCCTGCAGGTACAGGATGTCTGGTTGAATGTGACGCAGAATATGAACGTGACCATTTGGCGTGGTGAATGGCAGGATAGTCGTTTCCTTCTCCACCAGGCTAAGAGCCTGGGAATAAACGGCATCGTAGGCCGCATTTGTGTTTGACGGAGCGATGCTGTGTTCATGTTATTAGGAGCTGGCACAAAACCATCAGGCGACGAATGGTGCGGAAGCATACAGAGGGCTCTTGGTCTCTTCGCCAGGGGCTTGGGCTTGATCATGACCAATGTTAGAAAATGATGAGCTCAACGAAGGCGGCGGGAGGTTACTAGAAGTACCATCCAACATGGGCTCCTTTAGATCCGGTGCGTATATCAGGATGTACAACTTGATTTTTGAAAAGTCATTGTGGCGTGGAATGTGGGACAGAATTGACTGTCGTGACCTGTTAGCTCTGCCATAACATTGCCGATCAGAAATGCAGGTGAGTTAGCTTACAGCCAGCTCGTGTGTTCCCCCATCAGATATATCAGAGATCTTTGTATCGGCCGATACGACGATAGCGACAGTCTTCCGGCTCTTCTCCCCGGTGGTGGGGGCGCGACCCTTCTTCGCATCGGCCTCTTCTTGCCATGGATTTTCTCCGTACGCTTTATCCTCTTCACGGATAGAAGCAAGGGCCTTGCCCACAGCAGCGCCAGCGGCAGCCATTCCAGCAGCAACCGTCTTGCCAGTCGAGTCGAAGAAGTGTTGAGGGCTGGGCGTCCTTCTCAACGCGCCAGACATGCGTGCTCCCCATCCCCCCCCAGAAACATCACTGGGAGCCGTAGCTACGCCATAGGATGCAGCATCATCGCCTTGTTGATACTGTCGAGGAGGTTGTTGGGGCCCTCGCGAATCGCGGTTCGAAGCGCCGTAAGGGGGATTGTCCCCGTAGTCAGCATTCTCATAATCCAAGCCCGGCTCGTGGTCAAAGGCATTATCCTCCGCGTCTTCTTTGCGCTGGCTCCATACCCAGGCGGCCACCCCAGCGGTTGCGACTGTGAGGGTTATGGCAAGGGGCACCCAGTGGCTCCAGACACCGCGCCGGGAGGATCCACGGTCGTACCGATCCGGAGACATTTATGCGAAGGAGTGGTATCGCATTGCCTTAAGACTGGCAGACGAGGGCAGGGACGTGCTTTCAAATTCAAGGGCCTGGGCAATATTCGGAGAGATGCAGCACAGTCGTGAGGTGTGGCGCAAAAAGGAAGTTGGTTGGAATGATGCCGCAGACTGAAGATGCGGACCGTTAATAACTGGGACGGGTTTGGCGGCTGGTGGGTGTCAAGGTTAATCTTGTCCAATGTCAACAATGGGGTGGAGCTCCTCTTTTCCGTGCCCAGCAACGCTTGGGTTGGCCCGAGGTCCCAGAGCTACTACGGAGATCGGGACCAAAGATCCGGTGCCTAGTAGTGGTGGGCATCAGCCACACTCAGCCACATCTGCCCCTCGTTCCCACAGCTCGCTCCGGCCAACATAACAATTCTGCGAGGCTATGACTCCTTCTGAAAAGCGTCCTTGAACTCGTCAGGCATCTGATCACGAACGCCCAGGTACGCGGGCACAGGAGGCGAATACCTCTCAAAGCTCAAACTCAACACTTCAACTGAGCCTCATTCCAATTTGACAAGGTGCGTACCAAGCGAAGCACCAACCGACCTCAAACCGGCCAGGGCAACGGTCAAAATGCCCCACGCCATGTCGATGCCCTCAACAGGGCTGCAAGCGCTCATCCTTTGCGGACCGGGATCATCATTTCCGACCTTCACGTCAAATCCTGATGAGAACCCCAAGGCTATTCTACCCATTGCTAATCGTCCAATGGTGTGGTATCCCATTGACTTTTGTCATCGTATGGGCATCACAAGTAGGTCACTTCACTCACACCCGTGTCCTTGCACAGCCAACATACGACACAAGCGTATGCATATGGATATATATATATATATCCACGTGCGTGCGTGTGTGTGCCTGCACCATCTTGCAGTTTCTTGCTGCAATATGCTACATGTGTGTTGCACAAAGCTAATGTCTCTCAGACATCACCCTGATATGCCCTCCGTCAGCATCCAAAGCCATGAACTCTGCATTTAGCATAAACCCCTTTCTCACTGGCCTGCCTCTCCCTAGGCCAGATATCCTCGCTCCGGCAGACTTGGACTACAACACAGGAACTGCGGAAATTCTTCGCCTCCCTGAAGTTCGCAACCTGATCAAATCGGACTTTGTCGTCCTACCCTGCGATCTTGTCTGCGAACTAGGCGGAGATAAGCTCCTCCAAGCATGGATGGTCAAGTCTGCAAGCCTGACTGATCTGCTAGGAGATGGGAACTGCACAATGGGTCACCAAAGCCATCACAGTGGCGGTCTTGGAGTTTGGTACAACACGAAGTCCGGTACGGTCGTCAAAGGCGAAGAAACCGATTTCATCGCCACCTCACCGCTTCCTTCTGGGCGACCAGGCACGCAAAAAGGATCCATTTTCCCCAATCTCTCAAAGCTGGTTTACTCGATGCCTACAGACTCATTGAAAGACATTACAGAAGAAAAGAAGTCATTGCCAGTCCGGCACGCGCTACTCAGGGCACACCCTCGCATCAGGATGTTTACTACTCACCGGGACGCACACATTTACATATTTCCCCGATGGATTCTGGACTTTGTCAAGGAGAATGAACGACTGGACAGCATTGGGGAGGATGTGGTTGGTTGGTGGGCCAAGGCCGGATGGCAAGTCGGACTTGCGGACAAGCTGCATATCACCACGCTTTGTGACACCGCCAGATCCGAAGATGACAACGATTCCACGTTGGGGAGCGTTACCTCACCACCACCTGTCCCAGAAGGGGCAGGAAAGCAATCCACCAAAGGACCTGGCGAAACCAAGTCCACTGGCAAAGATGCCTCCCTGAAATCACCAGCAAGTCAAAGTATCCCTCCCGTCGTCGCATACATTCACTCAGGCGATGGACAAGAAAAACCAGCTATTGTGCGCCGCGTTGATACCGCACAGCTCTTGCTCGCCATATCTCTACAACTAGCTAAGCTGGAGTCCATCGAAGAAGTTGGGCCCGATGCAGCCTCGCCCTTTGCCCACTCGAGAAAAGTGGCATACCCTGAGGGAGTCAAGCCACGAACTACTATTACCAAGCAGGACAGTCTCATTGCTGAAAACGTAACTGTAGAGGAGAAGACGGCCATCAAGGAATCTGTCGTGGGAGCCAATTGTCAGATCAACGAAGGAGCCAAGCTGTCTCAGTGTCTTTTGATGGACGGAGTTGTGATCGGGAAAGGGTGCAAGTTGACAAAGTGTGTCTTGGGCAAGAGATGCGTCATTGGGGACTACTCTGTGCTTACCGACTGTGAGGTTCAAGAGAACTTGATGGTAGAACCACGAAGTAAGTGCTTTCCCCTCTTCGGCCGACTCAGTACTTGTTCCTGTTGCATATGCTTGGTCTTGACGCATCTGAGCGCCGCATCTATGATGGCCGTTGAGCCTGTGTCATCATACTAACAAGGATTTTGTAGCCGAGGACAAAGACAACAAGCTCATGAGCTCGGAAGGCCTGGAAGCAACGGAAGCCGAGATGAATGAAGTCCTACAGGATGTAGACTGCGATGTCGCAGCCGTCACAGACGAAGCCGTCCAGGATTAGATCAACCAAAGTGGTTCGAGGCACCAAAAATAGTTAAAAAAAAAAAAAAAAAAAAAAAAAAAGAAACGGGCACAAAAAATCCCAACATCTATTTACAAGAACCCTGACCCCGACGTGATTACCCCACTTATGGCCTTTGTTCAACAGTCCTG